AGTAAAAGTTGTAAAAATGAGCATCCTTTTCTTGTTCCTGATCTTAAAAGCAAAAGCTTTTATCTTTTCACCATTGAATATGATGTGAGCTATAAGTCTGTCATCTATAGCTTTCATTATGCTGTGGTGTGTTCCTTCTATCCCCACTTTGTTGAGAGTTTTTATCATAAATGGATGCTGGATTTTATCAGATGCTCTGTCTCCTCATTTTGGCCAACTCCCTATGCCTGTTTCTCTGTGTGAGGTACATCAGCTACACCCCCCAGTCTTGGCAGAACAACCTGATGTCACTCACTCCTTCTCCCTGGTCCCCTGAGCTGGGTGCTCCTGGAGTATCCCTTGTGTGGGCTGAGTGTGCCTTCCTGTTGTAGCTAAGCCTCGATTGCCATGGGCAGGCCAGTGGGTGGGACTGACCCTTAGGCGACTGGCTGTGAAGGCTGGCCTAGCGCATAAGCTGTTGTGTGGACCCTGAGGAGGAGTCACCTTAGGGGAACTCTGATGCCAGACGAGTCTGCTCCTCAGGTGTGTCATGTGTGGAGCTGGTTGGGTGGTTCTCTGATGTGGTGTGAAGTGGGCCACCAGGTGTGTTGATTCTGGAGCCTCGTGAAAGGGGCTGTGGTGCAAGCTGATGTTGGCCGCCATGCGTGCCGGGCGTGGGGGCACCTGGTTGGAGCTACAAGGTGCTTTCAGGTTGGTTGCTGCGTGTGTTGAGCTCGGAGGCCCTTGAGAGAAGCCGTGCTGAGAACTGAGGCCAGCTGCTGCCAGTGCAGGCCTGCAGTCCTCGGGGGGCACCAGGATGTGAGCCGAAGCCAGCTGCCACAGGTGCCAGGCTTGTGGCCACTGAATTGAAGCCACCTTCCAAGCCAACACTGACCACAGCGTGGACAGGCGTGGGGCTACCTGATGCACTTTGCAATACTCATTGAGACTGGTTGCAGCCGGCACTGGCTTGGGGCCACTTAGCCAGAGGTACAGGCCGCACTGAGGTCAGCCCTGCTGGTTTGGGGTTTGTGGGCCTTTGAGGGGTTTTAGGAAAGTCCTCAGAGGAAGCCAAGGCAGGCTATTTGAATTCACTGACACTGATATGCTGCCAGGTCAGCATCCAATTTCAGGACAAGGACAGGCTTAACTCTAAAAGTGCTGGACGTGAGTCCTGGGCACGAGGCTGAGGAGCACAGTGTTGCTCTCCTTGGTAACCTGCAGACACTGAGACAGCAGTGAACTTACGGGAAAACAAGGATGTGCCCATCAGTCGCGGTAAATCTGATGCTAGGGCTCTCCGGGCACCCCTACAGCACGGCTCTGGGTCATGTCTTTCTGCGCTCACTGTGAGCACTTTGATGGCACAGAATGAGCCGTTAGCATCTTTTTCACCTGCACTGTCTCACAGAGTGCCAGGCCCATACCAGCCATGGCAACATGTGATAGATAGGTAAGCGAAGGCATTCATTAATGGTTTGGCCCAGGGCAGTTCTGAATATGTAAATTGGCTCAATGAATGGTTATTTCACTTAATGTGCTTTCACAATTCCCTAGAAAACACAAGCCTTTCTTTCCCAAACTAATTCTGAAAAGCAGAAGAGATTCCCAGTGCAAAAATGACTCCAGCAAAACTGTCAAGTGCAGTGACGCATTAAACTAATTCATTCAGACCCTCATTCATCAGCACTCACTCACTGAATCTTCATTACCACCAAGCGCTGTGCCAGGGCAGAGACAGGAAGGGAAATAAGATGTGATCCCTCAAAGGGCTGGCATCAATCAAGTTTTAGAAACGTCTCTATGCGGTCCCAACGCGCACCAGGGAGGGGAAGGGCTGCCAGCGAAGGCGGCTGCTCACCCCCGAGTGGGCACAGGACTGGGGCTCAACCCCCATCCGGACACCACCCACCAGCTCCTCGCCCACTCCCAGTTCCTGCCTGTCCTCACTTCCCCAGAATCTCAGAATCTCAGACTGAATTCTTTATTGCTTTTCACATCTGTCAAATAATGTCCATGCTCTATGGTTACCTTAAGCAGAAAAACAAACAAATACCACAAACAAGTAAAAAACAAGAACAAAAAACACTAAAATAAAATATTGTAAAATTAGCTTTTTCAAAAAACAGAACTAGAAAGTCATTTCTTTCAAACTCAAATTTCAATAAATATTTATTAAATGATTATTATGTGTAGGACTGCTTGGATCTCCAAGGCAATAAAAACAGCCCCAACCTTCTACCTGCATTCACTTATCTATCAAACTTGGACTCTAAAGGGAAATGATTTTCTATGGGTAAATGTTCTCAGTGTGGGAACCACTTTTCTGCGCGTTGTCCCTTTAGGGCTGGATAAAGCCTCCCAGTGAGAAAAGTGTGCCTGTGTCAGGCCCAGCGGTAAGTCTGACATTCAGCTTCGAGAGGCCCACATTCTGAGGCCTGGCTTCCACTCCATTCTGTAAAGGATATCTGACTCTGGGTGGTCCCCAGGGGAACCAAAGTCCCCATCTTCCCAGGCCTGAGGGGCCAGCAGAGTCCCTGGCAAAGCAGGAGGGCTGGTCCCTCCAGGGGTCCCCTCTGCTCTCACTACCCAAGTTCTCCTCCTGGAATCGGAGATGCTTAAATTCTGTGAAAGCTGATCATAAATCCTACTGCGAGTCCACACGCTGCGCTGTGATGTCGACTATTCCATCCACTTCACGCCAGTGGGGACAGATGCTATTTTTACTGCTGTACAAGCAATGTATTTTTGGTCTTACATCTAAAATATTCCTGCTGGAGATAGACCCTGACAGATCTGGGGCACCTACATCACCACCCCTTCCCCACCCTCTAATATTCCTCCGGAGACAGTGAAGTAGGGTCATCCCAACATTTCCTGGTAAAATTGGGGTGAGCCTCATATTCTGGCCCAAATGTGCTACTTCTTTTTTTTTCTTTCTTTTTTAAAAAATATATTTTATGCCGAAACCGGTTTGGCTCAGTGGTAGAGCGTCGGTCTGCGGACTGAAAGGTCCCGGGTTCGATTCCGGTCAAGGGCATGTACGTTGGCTGTGGGCACATCCCCGGTAGGACTTGTGTAGGAGGCAGCTGGTCGATGTTCCTCTCTCATCGACGTTTCTGGCTCTCTCTCTCTCTCTCTCCCTTCCTTTCTGTAAAAAATCAATAAAATATATTAAAATATATATAGAGAGAATCATTGATCAGCTGCCTCTTGCACACTCCCTACTGGGGATGTGCCCACAACCAAGGTACCTGCCCTTGACAGGAATCAAACCCGGGACCTTTCAATCCGCAGGCCGACACTCTATCCACTGAGCCAAACCGATTTCGACAATGTGCTACTTCTTAACCGCCACTGTTCCACACAGGAATGGTGTTCAGGTGCCGGCCCTCTCCCCCACACCAGGCTGGAGAAGCTCTTCAGGGACAAGCACCTTGCTTCACACCTCCCTGTCTGAAGAGAACTATCAGCCCAACACCCACCCCAGGTGACCGCTTCCCTGGGACGGCCGTGGCCCCGCCCTCAGCTCTCCGCGAACTCCGAGCCTGGAGGCAGCAGCACACACCTCCCTGACTCTGCTTCCTCACCTTCAGTCGGACATGCAGGGCCTGCAAAGTCAGCAAACGAAGGTCGGAAATCACACCGAAAACCAAAAGCACCCGAGTGCCTGACAGAGAGGACACAGTGAACATGTGATAATCTCACGTTTTCAATGAGTAAAACCTTACGTTTGCTGTGCACCTGTGTTAAAACTTCAGAATATCCAGTATCTACTGATATAAAGAAAAAGCAATTCTCTCTTCAGAAACATTACCTTAATATAACAGTCTTTATTCAGCCACAAACTAATTTTTAGCCATCTGATTTGAACAAATTCTTTCCTCCCACGGCATTTGATTGAGGGCATAGCATTGGAGCATATAATTTATTATCATCATCATTATTTTCCACAACATTTAATACCCTGTTTCTTTCTCCGGGTAGAATATTTTACCCAACAGAAATCCCCAGGAGGAGCCACAGCACATTCATAACAAAGGTAGAACACTGTCTCCATTTTTTGCTTTCCTACAGGAAAGTTCAACTAATACAAAGTCCGATCCAATCAGCTCTGAAAGGAAATGGGACAGCCAGCCCCTGGCGGCCATGACTATCAACACCTCCGTGAAACGAGCGGAGAAAAGAACAAAACATCAGCCTCTCACCAAACTTCTATGTACCTTTAAATTACTCTTTTAAGCCACTATTTCTTTCGAAGACATTCTTCTGCCTCTGAGGCTGTGAACTAGGAGCTGGCTCCTCAGGGCCGTCCCCGGGGCAAGCAGAGGCGCCTGTGAAACGGGAGGAGATCTGGGGACAGCAGCCCCTCCGAGACTCCTGGTGGACGGGTCCAGGCGGCTTTCTGATTCACAATCTTGGCTCAACTCAGAAGAGAAGAGGGAAGAGAGACATCCCTGGGGAAAGGTGCAGCCTACTTCAGGGCAAGGCTGGCTTTGGGTCCATTCAAGTAGCCCTCCTAAATCGTACAGTTTTCAATACCTGAAATAACTTGCTCCTCCGTGATCTTCGAGTGTGGTTGTGTTCGAAACAGTCATGCCACACGTCAAAGGAGTTGGGGCTTCCCAAGGAACAACTCTATGTGGTGTGCTCTGGTTTGATAACCCCAGGACAAGAATCTGCAGTCACCTGCTGGCGTCTGGAGCAGATGTCCAGTTTGCAGGGTCCTGGAGCTGGAAATCATATCAGAAAAGCAAAGACCCATAGCCCCGAAGGACTACTGCTGCAACTGTGGCCCATTCACCACTCAAACGTCCTATATAATATTAAAATGGATTAATGGACGTGGCAGATTTGCGGTACAAAAACGCTTTATAAAAATACTCCCTGAACTTTTATTAAAAAAAAAAAAAAAAAGATGCATGTAAACATCGCCTGCAAGTCACAGAAGAACCCTGGAACCTTGCCATCTCATTTCCCAATGTTTTGCAGTTTTCCGTGGCCAGCTTTCCTTGGAGATATCAGTCTGTTTTTTTCCTGTTAACAGAGTTCCGCGGCTGCCTTTGAGTGTGAGCCTGTGGTCTGATTGGCAGGAACAATATTATCAGGAGACTTACTATGTGTAAATAGAAGTACATGGACCTAGGAATAAACACACACACAAGTTATATTTCAAACAAGGACACAAATGGGAGACGTCACACGAACGGGACTGCATCATCTGCAGGGTGAAGACGAGGCCCTACTTTCTGAGGAGGGGCGTGTTTTAACTCAGGCTCATCGTGGTCCACCCCACGATACTGCCTTTGGTGGGGAGAGGGATGGGGATGGACTGAAATTACAAAAGCAGGCAGAGCAGAGCAAGCAGCCCACCCGTGAATAGGCCTGCAACGAAATCTACCCCACCTAGGATGTGATGGCGCACCCCTCTGCCCAGTGTCTCCACACCTGTGACAGCCCCTCAGTTATCAGGTCAAGTGTTGAGGTATCTCAGTACTTAGGTTCAAGTGACCCTTATAATACTTAGTGATAGCCCCAAAGCGCAAGAGTAGTGATTCTGGCAATGCAGCTATGTGCAAGGAAAGATGTAAAGGGCTTCCTCTACGTGAAAATTGATGTGTGCAAAGGGGGAGAAACAGAATATACAGGGTTCGCAGTTTCAGGCATCCACTTTGGGTCTTGGAACATATCCCTGTTGATAAAGCACTGTACATCCAAGCATTCACTTAGGTGTAATTTCCAAGTTAAAGAAAAAAATTAGACTAAGGGATTTAAAGCTGAGATTTGAAGTCACTATAGAATGAAAACTAACGAGACAGGAAAATGAAACACTTCTGAAATGTAACCTTAAGCAGTGAAAGACATACTCAGACAAGGATATGCATACAACTGCGCCTCCCTGCTGGAATTAGCCCCGAGGGAGGAAAAGACCTGGGCTGCAATCAGCCCCACCTCGGTGGAAAGACCACGCAGGTTTAATTTCTTTTACGAGGTTTAGTGATTCTCTTAAGAGATCCTGAAAGCGCTTTTTGGAGAGACAATCTGTAATAGCTGTTGGCAATATGTGGCTGCTTCAATTCAAATGAATTAAAATGAGGTAAAATTGACATTTCATTTTCTCCATCACGCTAGCCAGGTTTTCAAACGCTCAGTGGCCACATGTGCTGGTGGTCAGTGAATTGGACAGTATTTCTGTCACTGTAGAAACGTCTATTAAACAGAGCTGCTGTGGGTAAGGATTTTAAGTTATATATACAGGCATACCTCGGAGACACTGTGGGGTCAGTTTGGACCACAGTGAATTATTTCAATAAGGTAGTCACACAATATTTTTATTCCTCACTGCATTTAAAAGTTATATTTACAACTGTAGTCTATTAAGTATGTACCTTAATTTAAATTCACTTTATTGATTTAAAAAAAAATGCTAACCATCCTCTGAGCCTTCAGCACGTCATAGTCTTTTTGCTGGTGGAGGGTCTTTGCTTCAATTTATACAATAGGCAATGTCTGAGCAGCACAATAAAATGAGGCTTGCTTGTGTAAGTGGCTTTGAGAACAAGATAAAACATTAGGTTGAAGCGTCTGAAATTGACAATATTAATAGAAATGTCAACTTCACCCTAAACAAAGGAGTTTTTGTTTTAATAGTCTAGATTGGCTTCAGAAAGAAGTGGGAATCTACTTAGGGGTCATCTGGATTGATGACTATTTGACTCTTACCCTAGAGCCCTGCCTGGGGGTAGGCATTAGCAGACTTTCATTGGTTAAGTGCATGTCATCCCAAATAAATCACCGCTTAGTTGATTCCCACACAGTAATTTTCTTCCAAAATAATGTGTCCTAAAGAAATGTTTAGTAACTGCACTATTGATCTTGCTGTTAAAGGAACTCAGGTCTGGCACTTACTTGCTGGGTGAGTTTGTTAAATTACTCACCCTCTCTGAGCCTCCACTTTCTGTAATGACAAGTAGGGATACTGACAACTACCTTTCTCTTCTCAGCCCAACCCTCTCTGCCTGGGATTGATTCTGTGTTCTGCACACCCTCAGGTTTCTCAAGTCTTCGGTGCACAGAGCTTCCTCGTATCACCAGGGGCTTGCCTCTGCTGCTGCCTACGTTTAGAGCAACACAGTGTTCTTCCTCACCCACCACCCTCACCTACGCTATGCCTGCTTCATCCCTACAATGCAGCTTTCAGTACTTAGCTAAAATGCCACTTCCTCCTAAAAGCCACTCTTGAGGCCTAGTCTGAGTCAGATTCCTGTAACTGTTCTCTTAGATCTTTGTACCATTCACTCATTGTGATATTAGTGTATATTTATAAGTTTGTCAATTACCACCTGTGTCTTCTAACAAGCTATGCTTTCCATGAGAGCAGGAATGCGTTCTACAGTTTGCTCACTATTTTAGCCCCACCTTCTAGAACAGTGTCCAGCACACTGTAGGTATTAAATAGCATTGAATTGAATACAGGCATCTATCTATAATAATAAAAGCATAATATGCTAATTAGACCGAACAGCTGAATGACCTTCTGATATCATTCTGGACATTTTTCCAGATGAAGCCACGGCAGCAGGGGCCAAGCAAAGGCAGTTAGGGGCAATCGGGCGGGAAGGTGAGCAGTTAGGGACAATCAGGCAGGCAGGCAGGCAGAATGGTTAGGGGTGATCAGGCAGGCGAGCGGTTAGGAGCCAACAGTCCTGGATTGCAAGAGGGATGTCTGAGTGCCGGTTTAGATCCCAGATTGCGAGAGTGTGCAGGCCAGGCTGAGAGACCCTACCCTTAGCCCTCCCCTTCCCCTCCCCCCCCCACGAATTTCATACACTAAGCCTCTAGTTTATAACATAATACATATATTCCTGGAAAATATCACATTCAGCAGATTCTGTGCTTAAAACACCTGTGCTTACGGAGGGACACCATCTGAAAGCAGACAACTCAAAACTTATGATACTTTGCAACCAGAACAATTAGCACCTAAGCCAACAAGTTGGACAGCCCAGGCAGATGCTCAATGGAGCTGCAGGCTGCTCAGGGGGTGATAAAACACAGGAGGGAAATGGAGCTGTGAGCCCGTGGGCTGCCCCAGGTGGAACACGAGGGAGGGGAAGCCAGCTGAGAGCCAGGATGGTGGGGGTGCCTCCTGGAGAGGGAGCCCAGGGAAGGGGTGCTCAATTTCAGATGTCTTAAATAAAGCTGAGTGTCCCCACTTCTGTCGTGGCTGAAATAAGGGCTCCCTCCTACCCCAGAAATTATCATTCTTTTTCTACTATACTGGTATCTCTTACCTAGAAAAATGTGGATATTAGTAAAACTGAACTGAACTTCCAGGTTATACTGACATAACTCCTATGACCCAATGAGTACTTAGAAACAGTTTTATTGATGAGTGTTGTATAGTTTCCCCTATCTGAAAAATATCATCCTGTGGCACCCATACTGGGTAGTATCTCTGATCATTTCTGATCAGTGAGTCCACAGAAAACACCCAACTTACAAATAAGGCATGTTTGCATTGCTTATTTCTAAGTCACTTTTCTGACCATAGCTGTGCTCCAAAGCTACTCTACAAAAGCCTGTGCAAACCATTACATAAATGCAAGCTACCATTTATTGAAAACAAACTATATGCCAGGCACCCACGAGTCCTTCCCACATCTGCCTAGTTCAATCCTAACAAAGGTGCTCTGAGGTGGATTCTATTCTTAGCCTCATTTAACAGTTGAGAAAATAAACAGTGAAAGAGAATAGTATCTGGCCAGAGGTCACACAATCATGTTTTTGGAAGTAGTGGAGAAACACAACTAATTCAACATAAGAATGAAACAAGGAGAGCAAGCAAGAAGAAGTTTGAACAAAAGGCCTGACACCTTTGCCTGAAGGCCTCTTGTCTCTGGTGTGACCCTTCCCCTCCACCCTAAATTCCACCCACTCCCCTCCACGGGTACCATGGGCCACATCAATCCCATGCGCATCCACAGAATTGCCGCCTCCCAGACACAGCCTTCTGCAGACCACTCAGATCAGCCAGATCAGCCGCCCCAGCCTGGGCAGCACTCCAGCACCTGCCCACTTGTCCTTCTCCTGTGCTGAGAATGGCCCATGGTCCCCAACACAACCTAGCCCCGGGGGGAAAGAGGCTAAAGCAGCAGCTTCACCCTCTGAGGAACTCAGATCCACCCCTTCAAAATCCACTGCCATAAGTGGCCCTCAGTTACATTACGAATGGCAGAAGAACCTCCCGTCAGCTTTGCTAACGTACTGTTGTTTGTGAGTTGGGATTTCGAAGGTGACCATGTCCACTTGATTCTTTCTTTTTTAGAAATCGAAGCCGTATTTAGAAATTGTTGGTACTGGTTGATTCAATTTACCGAGTCCTGTGTCAAACACGGAGAACACACACATTTGCTGGACAGCAGCTGAGAACGCGGGGACTTACTTGTATAAATTGATGGTGGGTTCAACTGCCAGAATGACAAAGGGTGCCACTGTGTAGGAGACGGCCAGCTGAGTGGCAGCCCAGGTGGCCACGTCATAAGCAACCTTGAGGGCTTTTGAAGAAAGGAAGTAATGTCTACAGTTGTTCCTCACCTGCCGGGCAAAGGGAAGGGTAAAACATACAACTTTACTCGGTGCAAGCAGGTACACCTTAGGAATGTGAGGTCTCAAAAACACCAACCATCTGAGTCCTATTTTCAACTAAAAATACTATCATGGTATTTAAAAGTATTTAAAGAACTAAGGAAAAACAATTTTTTCTTCTTTAACATCTCCCAGAGAAGATCACTATTTAAAAAGTTGGCACATATACTTACAAGACTTTCTCTACTCATATATACCCACTTCATATTTTCAATAGCATCAAAATAATCTTTTGCCCTAACTGGTTTGGCTCAATGGATAGAGCATCGGCCTGAGGACTGAAGAGTTCCAGGTTCAATCCCAGTCAAGGGCACATGCCTGGATTTCAGGCTCAATCTCTAGGGTGGGGCATGCAGGAAGTATCGAATCAATGATTCTCATTGATGTTTCTATCTCTCTATCCCTCTCTCTCCCTCTCTGAAATCAATAAAAATATATTTTTTAAAATAACCTTTTGTCTGCTTTTCTTATAAAGATTTTTAAATTGATTGTTATAGAGAACGGAAGAGCGAGGATCATCAGTAGGTTTCCTCCTGCACACTCCCGACCAAGAATCAAGCCTGTGCCCTGACCAGGAGTCAAACTGCTGATCTTTTGGTGACTGAGTTGATGTTCAACCAATGGAGCCACACTGGCCAGTGGTTAATAGGTCATGAGGTGGTGGTTGGTATTGTTTTTCTTTCACATCAGTAAGTATTAATCCCCATTACAATTATAAGTTAATGATAGAAAAGTTAGCTTGGGTACCCCCTCCCTGCTATAGTGAACAATTCTGTGATGCTACCCTCGTATACAAATCTCTGCAGTGTTCCTAATTATTTCCTTTGAATAACAGTAATAAAGTAATATTAACATTAATAATAAGAGCAGCTCCCATTTACTGAGTGCTTACTGCATGGCAAGCTTGTGCTATTGCTTACCTGTGATTCTCCCGACAAGCCTATCATGTGAGCATCATCATACTCCTTTGACAGACAGGGACACAGAAATTCTTTGAAATGGAAAATGCTGGTTCAAAAGATATACTCATGTGGAGGTCTTTTGACATGTGATTAGATTTGCTCCAGAAAGATACCTAATCTCCAGATCCGAGAAGCAAACGCGGAGCTGAAACCAAGGCTGATTTATCGGTAGGTCAGCCCCGAAGCAGGGCGGCAGGTGAGTGGACTCCTCTCCTCTTTCTGGGTTCCTCTGGAAAGAAGCCAGAGGTCCATCCATGGTGGGGCAGCGTGAGAAAGCATGTAGGAGATTATGTTCCTGAGTCTAAGATACTTCATGCCTCTTTGATTATATTCTCAGTTTAGGGTAAAAAACAAAAAAGGGAATACTCTATGAACCCTCTCTGCTCCAACCCACCTTACCAATTTGTAAAAAAATGTTTCCAGGCTATTCCACCTCTTCCCAAAAAAGCAAGTTTTACATAAATCAATGCTTTAATGCCATTGAGATCAATTAAACCAAAGACACTTAAAGAAATAATACTCTCAATAAATTAACAAACAAAACTCTAGCCTTTGATTCTTATTTTGTCCTGCCCTCTGCTTTTCAATGCTCTTTTATAATCCAAGTAGGTACATATATTGGCAAAAAGAAAATGCCTTCCCTGGTTTCTATGCACAAATATGTACGATATATATTTAATTTTTAAAGTGTGCTAATCAGCATGACTGGTAATCAGTTATCCATACTGTTTACAAATATATCCCAATGAACTTTCACCGAACTAAAAATTCCATGGGAAGGGGGAACCTCTTGTTTTTGCTAAGTAGCTTAGCACCTAGAACACTGAAGTAGGGATCCTAAAATATTCATAGAACAGATACATTAAAGAATAAGTGAATAGCTTATACAGCTCAACAAATGTCATTTAAAGCTGTTGGCACTTGAATAAGAAAGGCCACAATCATTATCATAGGCTGAAATAAAATGAAATATAAAACTTGGCATCTGATAATTATAGCATATTGAATTGTAATTACTTATATTCATATTCATCTTATTTTTTTAGGGAAGGCATATTTTTATTCCTTTATTATCCTGCTCTACTGCCAGCAAAAAGTAGGAACAGTCTAGGACAAACTTCCCAAAAAACCTAAAGAACTAAATTTATAAAATCCAAAGGATTTTACACAAACTAATTCAATTGGATCAGCTCTGAGAGTTTGGAGCAATCTCCAACAGCACACAGTTCCTGCAGCTGTGATTTTACTGGCTGCTCACAGACTGAATTATTTCTGGGCTTAGGATAGTGAAATGAGAAATGAAGTATAAGTAAAATGAAGTCTTATAAAGACTACATTAATTAACAATCATTGTCACCTGTGATTATTAGAATGTATAGGTTCACAGTCTTTAATGATTAAAGATGTTTTAAAATCTCTTAAGTTACTCAACGGTGCTCCTAAAATTCCTTTTCTTTTGCAAACACACTCTGTAAATAATGTAAAAATAAAATGATAAACCATTTGATGACAACAAGCTCCTAGATATGGAAGTATTTCTCTAATGGGAAGACTTCTGTTTGATTTTTTTTTTTCAAAAGTTCACTTCTACCCTCTCATCCCATCAACTCCTAAAAGGACTAAGTGACAACAAACATAGGCATTACATTACTAAGGAAAAGACCCCACAACCAAAGCAAGTTTACCGTCCTGGCTGCTACAGTGACGAGGATTCCAGTTAAGAAGGTGAAATAGTACCCAGGGTAGACACCATGCCACAGGGCAGACAGGATGAAGGTGAACACTGTGGGGTACCAGGGCACACGCTCGTAGCACACTCTGTGAAGAGAGAGGCAGGCACAACCAGCCACAGGTCAAACAAATCAGAAACCTCCAGATACACTGGCATCTTTTCGAATCAGACCTACAGAAATCATTTGCTCCATTCCTGATGATCTGCCTGCCTAACCCTATTCAGGGACTCACAAGGCAGTACAAGCAGCCTGAATTCGAGTTTTTTTGGACACTATCGGTAGGCAATTCATATGAACTTTTAACCTCCACAGAAGTAAATGATCTGACCCAATTACTCTATCCTACATTTAAAAAGGTTAATATGCAAACAGACCAAACGGCAGAACAACTAATCAAAACGTAATATGCTAATAATATGCTAAGGTTGCTCAACTGCTTGCTATGACATGCACTGACCGCCAGGAGGCAGATGCTCCCACCAGTAGGTTAGCTTGCTGTTGGAATCCATCTGATTGGTTCTGAGTGAGATGGGCCAGACATGCCCTGGAGCCCTCCTGCAGTTCCTCCCTGGCCTGATCATGTACTGGTGGAGTCCCTCAGCCTGGCCTGTGCCCTCTTGCAATCTGAGACCCCAACGAGAGCTGGTTTCAGCCCAATCCCGCAGGTCACTCCCCTTTGGAGAGCACCCAATGCAGGGTTCATGGCTGGCAAGTGCTGTTGGAGCAGCCTGAGCCTCTCCCAATTGAGACTGATTGGGCGTGAGCCTGTGGCAGGCACGTGGGGCTGGGATGTGAGGAAGCTGCAGATAGGAGCTACAGGCAGCATTGGACTGCTGGTTTTGACCTGATCCCTGCAGGCCAGCCAGAGGGACCCCACCCATGCACGATTTCATTTTCTAAGCCTATAGTATCTAATAAAAACCCAAGTGGTTAGACTCTGGCCAGCCCCTGCCACCAATGGTCTAATCTACCAGGAGTAATTATGGATAAATAAGTGCCATTGGCACTAAAAACCTTGGAATCAGGATAAGGTTCTTTAAAGCAGATATTCTAATTTAGTGTAAATTAATTTACCTTTTCAGCCTATCCCTTGTGCTATAACCAGCTCTGAAACCCTTTTCACCTCATTTGGGAATGACTCCTGCCCAAAATCAAAGTGTTGATTATAGGACCTTTCAGTTCTCACTGTGCCCATTGGATTTCAATCCATGAAGTTGCCTTAAAAAAGTGATATTGTGTGGATTAAGACACTGTCAGAAAAACACCCTGGAGAACTTTGGTGTCTTTGTTGATTATTAACACCAAGTGGCAAGGGACTTTCTCCCAAGCTCACTCTGAGAACTGCCAATGCACTGAAAGGTGGCCACTATGAAGTTTACTAAATGAGAGTACCCAAATGGAACATAAAATAGAAACTCAAACAGCTAACACCAACCCTGCATCGTATGGGTTGTCAAAAGTAAATTATTTAAACCCAAACTAAGGATTATGGCTCTCTCTTCATGGAAAGACAATGCATTTGGGGAGAAAAACAGGACTGGGACCCCAATTGTATAATGTTGGGGGGGGTTTTTTGTTTGTTTTTGTGTGTGTGTTTTTTAATGAGAAATTAAATTTGCATAGGTACTTGTTTCTTACCCTCTTTATCTTTTTTATAAGTCAAATCATTTTATATATTTTTCCATTTTTTATGTGCATGCATATATGTTCAGTCATCTTAAAACAAACTCCTAATGGAGACTAAAACTCTTGGTACATTGCGATTACTCAATATTCAAAAATTATTTGCAAAATTAATATCAATATTAAGGATAAATTTTCAAAATTTGCATGTTCAGATAAATTTTCAGACAAGACTGTAGGAGCTTACTTTGCAGGAATTATTATACACTGTCTCTTCTTTTACTCAGTTTTCATCTAAGAAAAATGCTACTTACCAACAACAGAATCTACAGCTTAGCATTTTTATACTCTCCCTGCACTTATATGATAGGAATATTCACTTGCTAGAGTTTCAAGGATAGTATATTATTCCAGGATACCATATTATCAGTTCCATAATAAGTAATGTTTTTAATTTTAGAATGTGTAGGGAAACAGAAATATCAATAAAAATACAAAGTTTAAAAGCACGGATATCTGGGGTAGCATAAAGCTTTCAATGCTAGGGATAAATGCCAGGATTTCAGTGGTTGGATGCTGACAATGTCCGTCTCTGACATCTGATCAACAGGCTCTCCTCTAGGTTAGAGGTAGAGCAGCACAGAGGTTGAGAGCCTGGCTCTGCGGATGGTCTGCTTGGGCTCTTATCTATTACTCATTCGCTGGGTGAGTTTGGACAAGTTACAGAACCCTCCTTTGCCTCGGTTTGTTCATCTGCAAAATGGGGGTAGTAACTACCAATATCTCATAGAAGTAAATGAGTGCCTGGTACATAGGAATGGCAGGATTAAATGTTGGATATTTTAAAATAAACATGCTCTATTATTTGATCTTCTCAAATCACTATATTTCTACTTTTTTTACTTAAAGGGCATAGATGTTCATGCAAAACAAAAGTGTCAGATGACATTACTACTATTGCTGTTCATCTAATAACAACTCCCATCTAAACATATCCCAGTGCCGTGAGGAATGAGGTCACTTCTGTTTTTCTTACCGCTTTAGCCAAGTAGCTGTCTGAATATTCCAGTTTCCTAGGTACATTTTGAAACTTGTAGCAGTCTAAAAAGAAGAATAACACCTATCATTAGCTTTAAAAATACCCACAAGTAATGGAAAGTCCTCCGCAGAATTTCCCTGGCAGCAGACCACATGTGCTGTTTCACTAGTGACTCCTCGGTCAAGAGTGCATCAGCTGCTCCACTGCAGGCAGGAGCTTCCTGATGTTTATGAGACTGACGAACACTTGGCTCGCAAAGTCTCAATTTTTCTCAATTTATTTTCAAATTATAGGAAAACTTGAAGGACTGTTTTGTGGGTTTTCCATCCTCTCTGGCTTAAAAAAAAATTTTTTAAGTCATCTGAATTTTAAAACTAAATACCTTAAAAGGGGATTTGCCCTAGGAAAAGTTTAATCGTGTGAATTGAGAGACTTTATGGAGACAGGTGCAATGTTACTGTCATCTTTTCACTGTGATGCCATCTACAAACTAGGTCAGTCCTATGAAATTATTCTACAAACAGCTGCACAGGTTCAAATGCTTCCCGTTGTATTTAGAATAGTGAGAGATTTTACACATGAAGGAGTCACAATACAGAAAAGAAAGAAATATCACCAAACTGGCAATGACACAAAGAAATCAACCTCTGAGGAAGACACGTTCCAAAATAAGCCATGAACAAGGTTTCCTCATTTAAAAAAAAAAAAAAAAAAAAAAAAAAAAAGGCTGGTTGGTTGGGGGTGGAAAGCATGAAACGAACATTCATGAACCAGATGCCTAGTGAAGGTAGAAAGTACAAGTGCCACTTTTTTCCTGTTTCAACCCTAAGGAAATCTTAGGTCACACACTGGCCTAATGTAATATGTTTAGATAGAAAGAAGGAGAGAAGATCATCGGTAGATGTAAATAGACAGATTTTGTATTGTGAGTTCCTAAGGACTTCTATGTATCCACATCTTCTATGGCTAATAAAGTGTCATATACACAGCTTGTAGGAACCTTAACTACTTGGCTTTCTTTAGCTCCTTCCTTTATAGCAACTCGATTGAAAATGCAAAGTTCCTCCTTCTGGTTTTTCTTTATAACAAACACATAACTTAATAAGTTGATCCTTCACCCTAAACATATGCCCAGTAAAATGACTGTCTGTGTATGCACAGCGGAGGAGATGGGGGGCGGGGGGCAGCCGGAGGTCAGAGGGAACCCCCATGAAGGACATTCACCCACAGCAGCCAGCAGTGGTCCAAGAGTTTTGAGGGAGAGAAGAATTTTGGTAGAAATAGGGAGGCAAGTCAGAACACCTTTGGACTCCCTCTGACATCATCTGTATAGCAGCAAGAAGCATGGGGATCACCTACATTGTTTTTCTGAAAATGAGAAAGGTTGTTCTGGAGGCTGGAGCTTGTCCATTGAAGATGAAGAGAAGACTCGGGCATCAAGAAGGTGGAAGGCATCCTCCCCACTGAGACCTCTTGTGGCCTAGTGCCCACCTAACGTGGGTGGCAGGTGGAAAGTCTCCACGGCCTTGGCTTCTTGCTCTACCTGCATATCCCCTTCCAGCCACGAACCCAAGGCACCTGTCAGGAGAACCAACACTGCCTGCTGAGAACCATGCGCTACTCCATCCTGCTGCCAGGGGAATAGGGTCTGCGACATGGTCTTCCTATCGGCTCTCATTGCTGACAAGGCCCAGGAAGCAAAGTGACATGGCCCCAAAGAGACCACCTGCGGTGGTGAAGACATAGGAGAGCAAAGCCAGCAAAGAGAAAAACCGCACTGCTTCCAGGGGCTGGAAGCTCTGTGCATGGCAATTCTTCTAAAACGCAATTGGATGATCACTGTTTCCAAAGGAACCACACAGAGCGCTTGCAAAATTCAAATCTAAATGCAGAAGCTTCCAGTCTGTGTTCTTTTTTATTGTTGTTGTTGTTGTTAATCCTCACCTGAGAATATTTTCCCATTAATTTTTTAGAGAGGGAAAGACAGAGAGAAACATCGATGCGAGAGAAACACATTGATTGGTCGCCTCCTACACGAGCCCTGACTAGGGTCCGGGAGGAGCCTGCAACTAAGGTACGTGCCCTTGACCGGAAGAGAACCAGGACACTTTGGTCCACAGATCAGTGTTAGGGCCAGTCTGTATTCTTGACTAAAGGAACTAAAATGTGAACAAAAGAAAATGGATTCTGTACCTTCATGCTGAAGGCACAGGGAATGGAAACAACAAAAAAGATTTTCCAAGCTCTTTTTTAGATTTTTCTTGTGTCATTATTCCTTGAACCATTAAAACTATCAAGAAAGTATCTTTTAAAAAGGAAATAAGACAAAGAGGAAAAATATTCCAAGATGCATCAAGTCCCGGAGACTGCTGGCATTCCCTATAGCAGACATTGATGAAGAAGATCCCTGGACACTGCACTCAATGTAAACCTCTGCTTTATATGCGATCACAGCTGGGTTCAAAAGCACCATAGACTCACCTCAATTTTCCAGATGTTTAGGTTAGAAAGCAGATCCCAACAGAAATTTCCATTCTGATCCACTCCGCTGAACCCAAAGCCAGCTGCGTTATTCACGGCATCAGCTATGGTTTTCAAAACAACACGTTAGGATACAGAACAAAAGTCACATTGTCGCTTTAAAAGGTCCCAATGTCTGTCTCGCTTTAAGGCTGAGAGAGATAGGTGGCGGTTTCCTCGGAAAGGACACCAAAAAGATTTAAAGGGCCTGGTGCCATGGTGAATCAGAGAAACATGTGTGGCTTTTTGGTGATCTCAATTTTTATTCATTTTTATTCATTCACTGGCATTTAGTGAGCACCTGATAGGTAAGAAGAAGGGCACTTGATGCTCATAGAATACAACACAGGAATGAGAGGAAGGAAGAACCAAAACGAAGTAAGACATGGGAGGGTTTAGTGACCCGCTGGAAATAAGAGGAGAAAGGGAAGAAGGGGAAAATACACTTAAGCTCAGAAGCAGAGACGGGAAGAAGAAAGGAGGGTTCGTGGAGGTCCAAGAGCTGTCATCAAAGACGACAGGACATTAACGGTAAGACAGCACTGAGTCGGGAGACCCAGCCTTGGAAAGGAAAGTGCAGCTCATTCTGAACATATGAAGGGCGACAGGCTGGAAGGGTGTCAGTTGGGGCTGCTGAGATGCAGTTAGAAACGTTCAGACTACAAGAAGAAGAAGAGAGCTAGAGATGTGAAATGGGGACCAGCTGCCACGGAGGCCACACATGAACATAATACCGAAGCCGTCCGCCCTAACGTCCGTCCGTCTGAAAACTCCTGCCAACATTGTCAGGTGGCTTCACAGAATCCTGAGAAAGTGCCCCCTGCAGGGAGTGTGCACTTCTCATCAACTCCTTTAATGAAATGCTTTTTGTAAACAAAGACCTGATGAAACCAATTACTTTACTACAGTGACCAGAGGGCCATCCTCTCACTTCAGTGGTCTTATTTCAATTTCAATGGTTCTTTTTTAAAAGAAAATCCTGTAATGAAACCGACGAAAGTACGGCAGGGCAGGTACAGACTGAGATCGGGAGGAGACCGGAGAGGGCCTTCCTTTCCTGCAGCTCTGTGCCTCTGGGTCTAGAACTCAGGCCCAACTCCAGAGGGACTTCTGACGGCTGCTCTACAGGAGAACACCTGTTCTGGTTGTCTCCTTCAGAGTTAATGATTTAATGTCACCTATCTGTCAAATCATCACTGTAAAACTGTCTAGTTTCTTTTAGAAGAGAGGAGGAAAGTGCCGAGACCTGACATGTCAGTATCCCAGACAGACGGGATGGGAGCTCAGTGGAAAAGCAAAGCAAGAGTGGGCCAGTTAGGCAACTAACAGTGTTAGCTGTGTGGGCACAAATGTGTGAAGGACTGAAGAAAAACTAATCTGGGAAAAGAGCCCCTGAGGTCTGTGTTGACAACTGAAAATGGAGCCGGACTGGCCATGCTAGGACTGCTGAATGCCTTGTCCCACCTCCAGCCTCAGCTCTGGCTGAGCAGGCCTGATCTAAAAAAAAATCAGGATAATAACTATCCTGTGTTTGTGTGTTCACGCACGAGCACACTTGCTATCTTTTAGGATTCTGTAAATCACTCTATTTCTCATGGAATACAGCTCCCAGCGGCGTGAGCACAGTGGTGAGGGTGGGCTCCGGGGCCCATCTTGGGCTCCTCTCTCCACGTCGGCATCAGAGTGAATGCATGGCGAGTTCTTGAACTTGTAGAAACCTATTCTTTTGAGTATAAAGTGGTTATAATAATGTTACCTATTTTAAAGGGATGTTGAAATATTGACTTTCTATTGTACATGGCTCTAGTATATCATTACAGACAAATTAATTCAGACACCCATATTTTACAGTTTGTTTTCTTTAGAACACAGCCTGGGCTAAAGTTGAGTCTCACTAATTAGTGGGGGAGAGGAGAGGGGGGGACAGAACTGTACACTAAATCAAAAGAAAATAGCTGTATTGTTTCAATATAAACAGTAACTAGAACTAGGCTAACGCAGTGTAGCTCAGCTGAGATTCATCAAGAGGCCAGCTTTACGGATTAAATTTATAATCATGTATAATTAGTACATCAATTATATGTAAATGGTGTTTTAAGCAGCTGGGTAAAACAATTATTCAGTTAAGCAGTTTAAATATTCCCCGTCATACTATTCACTGCTACTTCATTTATAAATAACACACAGGTTAATTGCAGACCAGCCCACGCAACCTAAACTGTAACGAACTTCAGATTGAGGCCATACCCATTAATGAAGTGTTGTATGGAAGCTACCAAAAAAGATAAGGGGGGAGGGGAAGTGGAGAAAAGAAAAAGAGCCAAAAAAAAAAAAAAAAAAAAAAAGAGAGAGAGAAAAGAAAAAGCTACCCACACAGCTGTTCTATACCCCAAAGTTTGGAAACTCCCCAAAACGCAGAACAGTGCAGTCTCCCCCGTTCCCTGGGTCCCCCTCCCCACCTAGACCTGTGGGCACAACCCACCTCATGTTAGACTTTCCCTATGAGGTCATGGAATGGCCTTTCTTTCCTCCTTAAAGCAGGAGCCGATTTAGTCCAGAAGCCAGCCCGTTAACTCTGAGATACAGAATGTGGGAGAGGAAGAGGAGACAGAGGAGGAGGATAAGTGAGGAAGTAGAAGGTAGTAAAGGGAGTGAGCAGTTCTCTCTCAATCTTACACACACACACACACACACACACACACACACACACACACACACACACTGAGGTTAGAACAAAGTGAAAATACAATGTCACACAGGAAAATAGCCTGGTGTTCCAAGTAAGATTCTAGCCATAGAAGGGATAATGCCTACCTCCAAAGGACATGACTTTTAGATAATAAAGCAACTGCAGAAAAAGGAATGAGATACAAGGAGACTTTTGAAGGCTCCCTGATGATCACATTTGTCCTCTCCTCTGCCCACCCCTGGGGCAGCCCCTGATGTGAACTGCCTTGTTGGTGCCCACGTCTGTGGTGCCACGGAGCATGACAATCTTGAGGATGGAAAACACGTCTTATTTTTTAATTCCTCGTAGCACAGAACATGATACTCAACAAAACTCCGTGAACTAAACTGAATATGACAGGAAACAAACTTTTAAGAAGCTCTAAGTGAGATTTCTCTGGTCAAATGTTACATACACACTATTTGGACCAAACTGCTCCCTGAGCAACGACCCTTCGAAACAATGTGGATGGGAGCTGGGAGGTGCCTCTGCTTGATGGATCGAGTTTCTGCTCGGGGTGATGGGAACAGTTCTCGAGGTGGAGGTGGAGACGGTTGCACAACCACCTCAATGAACTCAGTGTCACTAACCTGCACCAACAGATGGTAAAAAATGGTAAATTTCTGTTGTGTATACTTTTACCACAATGAAAATAATAAATTTAAAAAAAAATTAGTAGCTACACCTTGGAGCTAAAATCTTGGAACATAAAATGAGAAAAGAGGAACTCAGTAAAGCCACACCCTCACTCATGAAATATGGGCTACGCACTGGGATCTGAGTTTAGTAACCTATTCAGCTTTGTAAACAGTCACTGCTCTGGGGCATCAAACCCGTCCCTTCAGCTACGAGGTTGAACTCCCATTCCTGAAAGGGTCCCGATGTAAAATACACACAGCGGCTGTGCCTTATCAAAGTCCTTTACCATTCCTGTAAGTAAATGGAAGGGGGCACTGCTCACTCAGCTAAGCTGCAAACGTTTCCAGTCCAAAATTGTTTGAAAAGAAAACCAGGAAACTTAGTACTGACCAATGTACATCATAGGGAAAGAAAAAAGTGTGTTAAAACCAAATTAATTGAACTTTCTACCTTAAAAAAATCAGTTGAAGTCAACTTCCTTCCAAGGCATAAAGCTTAACCAACTATCTCTTTAAAAGTGTAACCTAGATTGGCATGTGTGTGGGTAAAATGAATGTGTATCCAGCATTGTATACTGCCCAGGAAAATTACAAGAAAGCCAGGTCATTCTGGAATTCTCCCCTGACCGCCCACCGCACTAACTGGCCATTTGATTGGTGGAAGAAGCAGCCTCGTAGGCGGGTCATCTGTTAAGAACATTGGGTTTAAACCAGGACTGCTTTTCCCTTATCGTGCACAATTGGGTTGGCGGCAAACAGGAGAGCTTCCCTGGGGAGCAGAAAGTGACGCTGACTCCACTGCTTCCCATTACGCAGTGGGCTTGTTTTGGTTGGGTTAGGTGGTCCGAAATGTTGTTCTGGCGAAGCCATCCAACGAGTGTCATTTCCCCTCCTTCATTCAGGACCACTCTATCAACGTACCTAACGTCATCATGCTGAGTGAAATAAGCCAGTGAAAAATAAACACCACATGATCTCACTCATTTGCGGATAATAAAGAGCATTATAATCTGATGAACAAAAAGATAGATACAGAGGCAGTAAAGCATCAAACAGACTGTCAAATTACAGCGGGAAGGTTAGGGAGGGGTGGGGAGATAAGAGTTCAACTGAAGGACTTGTATGCATGCTTATAAGCAAAACCAATGGTCCCAAGACACTGGGGGGTGAGGCATGTATGGAAGTGGAGGGGTGGGGGAGGGCAATGGGAGGATATGTACACATGTAATACCTCAATAAAAAAAATGGGGGGAGAGGGGGAAACTTACCTAACGTCCAGGCCACGTAGTACTTGGGCTTCGAGGCTTGCATGACAACATATAAGTAGCCCAGCCGTGTCAGAAAGTTTGCCTTATGGACAAACCAGTCATCAGCCAGGCAGGCGACCGGGAAGGTCTTCGTGAGCGTCAGGAACAACAGGAGAGACACTCCGGTCACACACAGCTTGTGGATCACCGCTCCCTGGAATGAGGGGGGAAAGTCAGGGGGACCGCTCAGGAGATTCTGTCGGAGGAGGACAGTTTGGCGAGGGCCCAGGGAGAACAAAGCTGTTCGGACAGCTGCTCTGGCCACGTTCCCTGACGGAGCGGCGACAGGCGTCCTTCCTCGAGGCACAAATGGCACAGAGGCACGGTGCTCTATTTAGATGCAAAGCATACTTCACACTGGAGGGCTGAATGCATCTAACATGGAACAAAACTTTTACCAGCAAATTCTACCAACGAAGGGTAGATGGTTTCATTACCCCAAACATGAGAGAAACAGAGAGTACTGGGTGGCAGGCTTCCATCCGAAGGAAATGGCCACTTGCCTCCCCCTTCTGTAGCCAGCAGCCAAGGAAATGGGTTTGAATGGCCAGCAAGGAGGCGAGAGCTTAGTTCGGAAGATTCCGTGCGTGTGATGAATGCCGGTGCCAGGACACAGCAAGTAATGGAAAGCTTTAGAAACCCTTCAGGAAAAATGAATGTAGCCTGCTCTGGAGTTAAGATATACTGACATTTTATTTTATTTTGCTAATCCTCACCAGAGGTTATTTTCCCCCTGTGATTTTTACAGAGTAAAAGAGAGGAAGGAAGGGTGAGACAGAGAGAGAAACATCGATGTGAGAGTGACACAAGGACTGTTGCCTCCCGCACACCACCCCAACCAGAGCCAGGGTCCAAAGCTGCAACCTGGGGTACAGGCCCTTACCTAGAATCAAACCTGAGACCCTTCGGTGTGTGGGCCAACACTCTAACCACTGGGCAACACCGGTAGGGAATGTACTGACACTTACTTTTATTTTTTCATACTAACATTTTAAATTCCTCTGGATGGAGTGATTTTGCCCAGTTTCCTTGGCATTCCAGAGAATGTCACTTAACATCAACACAATTATAATTCCCAACTTTATAAAAACAGACACCTTAACTGTAATAAAGTGATAGTAACAGCACCTTCCTCAGAGGGTGGGCTGGGTTTTAAGTGAATGAACATCAGGTACCGAGAGCAGGGCCTGGCTCCCCTTGACATGCTCACCACACTTAGTCACTGTTGGGGCCCCTGTCCCCCGACTTAGCTCATGGGTGCCAGCCCCTCTCATCGATATATCGTTAGCCAAAACACAGCCTCCGCACTTCACTTTCTCTGTGCACAAAAATGCAAGTTTCCTACAGAGTGATACTCATTAAGACTCAATAATTATAATGTTTTCTAAGCAGAAGCATGTGAAACACAAAAGCACTACTGTGACAGACATGTGGAAACACCTGTGGTTACTTTGATGTCTTGTCGCCATGGTGACTTTACTCCTATTTTGTTTCAGTAACAAGTCAGAGCTGAGACATTTGATGAACTAAAAGGTGCTGAGGAGCCTTGTCAAAACCATCTGAAAATTCATGCTTAATTAATAAGTCACTTAAATTTTCAAATACTTAATTTTGCCTAGACTTTAGCATTTATGAAATATTTGAATTATCCTGACTTTCTCCCTTATCCAATTTTCCCCATTTCTTTAATTAATGACAAATTTCCCTTAAATACAGGACAGTTTATCTGAATAAGTTTACCATATTTGTAAAGTTCACTAAGTTACCCTATGTAGACTACTTTGAGATGAATAAAATTCATACTGGAATTAAAAAGTTATTTCAAGAAACCATCTTAAACTCTCTCAAAGGCACCAAAACCAAGCTCTGGGCAGTGTAAAACTGGTTTCCCTGGAAACAAGTGGGTTCTCCAATAAAAAGCACATTTATTCTGGTCCCCAGTTCCTCCCCCGCCCTCACCCCCAGCTTTTATGAATATTATCCTTTGGCTGTGTATTAATTTATATTCGTAAAGACAAAACACCCATAAATTTGAATATGTTAGCTCGAACAGCGCTGAGAGCATTGTAGGCACTAACTATTGGCTGGTTGACTAATGGATGGATTGCTTTAATATTCCCAGCCCATGACCAGCTCTGTGAAATATGCATCTGTTTCTCCAATACAGAGGACGGCAAATAAATTCCAATATCGGTATTTTAAACAAATGGGGGGGAAAGTTATTGGCCAAACTTTCTGTTAAACTGGTTGGCTTTTGAATTAGAACAATTATTAGTGCGAGTCAGCCCTGGCAGCAGGACTCTGTACGTGGGGCCTCTGGGTGAACACTTGGCACTAAACACTCACAGTGGGAGAAGGTTCCGGCAGGCTGTGGAAACCCTTTTCCTTCCAGTTCACCTCCAGCAGCTTCATGTGTATATGCCTCCCCTCGATGAAAGCTATATAGTCCTTGAAGTTGTTACACGGTCCAGCTATGACACTCATGAAGTTTAGAAGATAGCTTAAGTATTCCAAAAAAGAGGGTTTGACTCTGTGAAAATAAAGTTTTTTTTAAAAAAAGGTTGAGAAGTATTCAGTCTTTCATTTTTCTTCCATATTTTCAAATAAGCAAATCATAAACACGAGTGTTATCTTTACAGTTTATTAAACACATCAGGATCTTTCCTTGCTCTGTTTCTCTAAAATCTGCTTAAGCGAGAAATCTTGTTGAAAGGAAAAGTTAATGAGGCGAGTGGCTGAGAGGAGGCAGCACTCTATGGCGCCCTCTGCTGGTGGATCGCTACCATAAGCACAGAGGGTGGAGTCTAGAGCAAAGGCAACTCTGAGGTGGCAAAATGCTTTCTCAACCTTAGCAGTCTACAGGAGAAGGTGAAGGTAATAACATAAGGCGGGGGAGGGGGAGGGAGGCAGGGGATCCAAACCTGTTAGCTGATTGAGATGCTTTCAAATAGGAAAACTCCCTCCCAATTACTAAAATAATCACAAAGCAAAGGATGGGTGGAACCACTTTCTACTTGAAGAAGCCACGCAAAAACACCGCTGTAACAGTCTCCTGTCTGCTTTGGCATCCACGCATGAGGTCAACAGACAAGGGTAGCAGCAGGGGAAATAGTCTGCAGGAGCCATTCTGTGTGTCCTTTAATGGCATTTGGAGGGGCATGCTCTTCCAGCAGGACAGAATTGTGGGGAAAGGCTTCCTAAAATGCCGCAAGTGAGTTATGCCTTAGCACTTACACGCCCATAATGCTCAGCGAAGAACTTGACTCAGAAGACTCTTCCAATGATCTTCCATTGATTCCAAGGCTCAAATTCTTAATGAAGAAATGAGGCACTCAATCTCCTTACCACCTGGGACCCTCTCACTCCTACTCCTACTCTCTAGTGGGAGCTGTTGGCCAGGGCTGCACCATCCCCAATACGCTACCCCACATGTCATTTCTGTTTTCATGTGCTGCTCTCCTACTTTGCATAGCCTCCTCCCTCTCGAACACCCACCCCCTTTCTACTGCATGTCAACACTGGCCAAAGTCCACCTTCATCGGCCTTCCTCCTTCCTCCTCTCCCCAGCCAGTGTCCTCTCTCCAACTTTACCTCCTATGTTTTTTCATGCTAACATTTCATCATACTAATTTGCATTGATGCCTGTTTCTTGAGGACCTGAGACACGTGCCCCATAAAAATAATTCTGGAACAGACATAACAACCCCAGTGAAGGAGAATCCTGCAAAACTAACAAAATCACAGATCCATTTACTCTCTGGCCCAGTAGTCCCACTTCTGGGAATCCATCCTACAGCTCTACCCAAACCCATCTGAAATGACCTATGCGCAAGCATTATTTACTATTTGCAAAAGTTAAAGACTGGTAGATGCCCAAGGGTCCACCAATAGCAGATTCATTAAATAAACACTATTACATAGACATAATGAAGCTCATATGCAAATATTTTTTAAAATAAAGATCTCACCGTGGCTCAGTTGGTTGGAGCATTATCCTGTACACCAGAGAGGTTGTGATTTGATTCCCAGTCAGAGCACATAAGGGAAGCAACTTATTGATGCTTTTCTCCCTTCCTTCTCTCTCACTTTCTCTCTTTCTCCCTCCCTCCCTCTCACCTTCCCTCTCCCTTTCTCTATAAAATCAATTTAAAAAAAAAAACACATCCTCAGGCGAGGATTTAAAAAAATGAAGACCTCTAGATACTGATATACAAAGCACTCAAGAATATACTATCGCCGAAACCGGTTTGGCTCAGTGGTAGAGCATTGGTCTGTGGACTGAAAGGTCCCGGGTTCGATTCTGGTCCAGAGCATGTACCTTGGTTGTGGGCACATCCCCGGTAGGGGGTGTGCAAGAGGCAACTGGTCGATGTTTCTCCCTCGTCGATGTTTCTAGCTCTCTATCTCTCTCCCTTCCTCTCTGTAAAAAATCAATAAAATATATTAAAAAACCAAAAAAAGAATATACTATTAAACTTAACTTACTTTACAGCAAGTCGGTGTTGCTCAGCAGACAGGTCTTCAGCTCTTCGACCTAGTCCTATGAGAAAGAAAACATTTAGAAATGTTTTCAGTGATGTAGATAACTAATCTTAAGAGAAGCTTATAAAACTCATCTGAAAAAGGTGATTATTGTTTCATAAATCAAAGCTTTCCTTTTAAAAAATAAATGCCCTGGATCAAAGCACTACCCCACAAGTCCACGTGTAAGGAAAGTCTCTACAGGTTCTTATGGAGAGGGGAGAATTCGGGGCTATTCCAAGTCGATTCACACAGTAAGACACGGATCACAGAACACCCTCCACAACTCTACACTCCTTACTATGCTGGTGTATATGCTTTTGTTGCTACATGAGAAACATAAGTCTAACTTCGCAGCCTATACCAGTGCAAATTCTTCTCCGAAATGCTGAGTGAAGACACCTGAGAGAATGGGTGTGGAATGTGATGAGGAAAGAAATAGGGACTTTTCTCTTCCAAAACACAGGAAACATAATCCTGAATGCTAGGAAAACACAAAAGAATTCTTGGGAGGTTTTACTTCTTTTAAAATCCATCCATGCCAGAAAAACTCCCAACCAAATCACATTTGTGCTTCCCGTAAAATGTACGTTAACTGAGTGTCAAAGAAACTGGAGGGTCATCTCTTAAGCATCAGAAATTTCAGAGGGAAGCAGGGAGAAGGTGGGAAGAATTTAACCAAAGAACTTATCTATATATATAAAAGCCTAAGCGACCATTGCAACCAAATGACCAGAACGCTATGACATGCACCGGCCACCAGGAGGCAGATGCTAAACCCAGGAGCTGCCCCCAGTGGTCAGTGCACTCCCACAGTGGGAGCGCCACTCAGCCAGAAAACAGGCCCACGGCTGGGGCTCGTCTCTGGCCTCCTGCCGCTTTGGCACTGCTATATGGTGGGGGGGAGGCAGGACAGGGATGTCGGATTGCTGGGATCCGGATTGTGAGAGGGTGCAGGCCAGGCTGAGGGGATCCCACCTGTGCACCTGGCCTCTAGTAAGCATATATGCATAAACCATGGACATAGACAGCGTGCAGTGAAGGCCTTGGAGAGGGAACTGGGCAAGGGCGTCAACTGGAGGGTGCGGGGGCGGGGGGGAATGGGGGATACTTTCCCCCCATAACTTTCCCCCCTGTAATACTTTCGATAATAAAAATAAATTTTAAAAAGTAACTGTATATTCAGCAAAGACTGATATGGTCACCAATCATAAAGGTAACTCAAAAACAAGCCTAAGAGAAGGCAGTGGTTCCAGAATTTACTTCTTTCTCTGCACACAAGAGAAAAAGACAAAGGCAAACAAACATTTTTCTGTATGTAAGGGATATCCCAGAAAATAAATTGAGAATGCTTACAAAAGTAAATTCAGGCAAAAAGCCTGTATAAAAGACAAAAGTGGACTAAACAAAAACAAAAAAAAACACATAAAAAGCAGTGTTTGTTTAAAAAATATCACACTCACTTTTTTCTACAATCTCATCAAACAGTACAAATCTGGCAATCCCGGAAATTAAAGTGATTTTAGTTATTGATTTATGTTGCAGATGTTAGTCTATAAACACTACCAATTAGATTTCCAGGTACAAAAACACTAACCAACTCACCCTGGTTTGCTCAGGACTTTGTCAATTTGGGCACTAAAAATCTTGTATCTTAGGAAACCTCTCAGTTCTGGGCAAATCAGAACAATTATCACCCTAGAAAAATTCTATCCTTGGTATAAAATTACCAGTTCTCTACAGAATGACTAAGTCACTAAATATGAATGAAAAATACACAGAGTCTAAATGAAATTGGTTTCCAAGCTTTAAGGGAAACAAGAAGACTAGCGGAGACTGGCTAGCTCAACCTGTCAACACTTAAAAGACGTTTCAGCCGTCAGAAAGCATTTGCCAGAGAGAACAAATCCTCAGATTATCCTTTTACTAATTGCACCTGGCATTGAGTAAGCCCATCTTCCGGCCAGTGAAAGTGCCCTTTTGCTTCCCTGGGACCCAATTTTAACAGTGGAAATAAAAAATTTCTGGCCATTTTTAGAAAGAGTCTGAGTAAAGAAAAATGCTCATTTTGTACACAAAGAGAAGAGCTTCCTCTCCCAGATTTTTGTAGGGTCAGGCTAATCTCACTAGGTAATTATCCAAGCAAAACAAACAAACAAAAAACTAGCATTAAAAATTGGTTAACCAGCCCATGCTGTTCAATCTCATTACCTCATGAGCTTCTCAGAGATTTGGAAATGAAGGGCAGAGAGCACCATAAGTTAACTTAAATTTAAAACATTGTAAAAGTAAACAGAAAACCCACTGTTTTCAATGCAAATATTTTAGCAAATTTAGGCTACAGATCCAGGAGGGAAATGATAAATAATAGCTGGGAAAGTTAAAAGCTATAATTTAAGAGGCCTACAAATTTTGGACAAGGTATAGCAAGATCTTCCAACACTTGTCTAAATTTGGGACGGTGTGCAGAATACAAAAACGGTCAGGTGGACTCAGAACAAGGAGGAAGGATGTTTTCTCACCATCATGAACTTGGAATGCCAAGGTTGTGATCTTCTGAGTGACAATCATCAGAGGCCTAAAAGGAAGAAGGGAAATAATCAAGATTAGTAAAAGTGCCACTGCAACTTTTATTCTCTTTCTCTACATCAGGGGTGGGGGACATCTGGCCCCAGGGCTGTATAAGGCCTGTGAAATCAATTGGTCTGGCCCTGCCAAGGCATTAGGGGTGAGTTAATTAAATGTTTGACCAAATATAGCGGGCTAATTTTTAAGTGGATAATTTTGTTATAAATTTCCAAATGGCTCTTGGCAGAAATAAGGTTCCCCACCCCTGATCTAGAAAGTGAAAAGGCATTTCACAGAATGCATGAAAATGTGTGTAAATCATGTATCTGTAAGCAAGAATTCATAAATTCTGACAACTCAATAATGAAAAGACACCCAATTTAAAAAATGGCCAAAGAATCTGAATAGACATTTCTCTAAAAAAAAAAAATATATATATATATACAAATGGTGATAAGCACATGAAAGAACGTTCAACAGTGACTAGTTATAAGAGAAATGCAAATCAAACTACAATGAGATACCAGTTCTCAAGCAGTAAAAGGACTGGCATCAAAAAGACAGGTAACAGGTGTTAGCCAGGAGGTGGAGAACTGCAACCCTTGTACATTGCTGGTGGGAATATTAAAAGGTGCAGCTGCTTTAGAAACAACCTGGCAGAATCTCAAAAAGCTAAACACAGAGTTACCATACAACTAAGCAATCGCACTCCTAGGTATAGTCTCGTGAGAAATAAAAATATCTCTACACAAAAAAACTGTACACACATGTTCAGAGCTACATCATTCATATAGCCCCAAAGGGAATTACCCAAATGTCCATCAACTGGTGAATGGATAAGTAAAACGATATAAATATTATTCAGTAATAACAAGAATAAAGTACTGATACATGCTACAATATGGATGGACCTTAAAAAACATGCTAAGTAAAAGAACCAGACACAAAAAAAAGCCACATTTTGTATGGTTTCATTCATATAAAATGTCTAGAACAGGCAAATCTACAGAGAAAGGAAGTAGATTGCATGTTGCCTAGACTTGGGGAACTGGGAGAAAATGAGGAGTGACAACTAAGGCATTCAGGTTTCTTTTGAGAGTGATAAAAATGCAAAATTAATTGTGGTGAATAGTTGCACTCTATAATTTACTCAGAAAATATGCAAAGACAACCCACTGAATTGTATACCTTAAATTGGTGAATTGTATGGTATATGGATTGCATATCTCAACAAAACTACAATATTTCAAATGCACTTGTTTTTCCAATTGTCTGTCCTAGCTTAGTACTTTTAGTAGCTCAACTCTTGCCCAAAGACAAGATAAAATCCCACTGCTCGAACAACCATTGTTCTTTAAAACCTTCTTAATTTATCCTGGTTTTCTGATCTCCTTCTACAGCTTCTTACTGAATTGGTAACTCTAACCCCTAGGGACTGATGCCTCATGTATAGACAATGCTGAGGCTGTGATCAATGTCCTGTGGCAGTGTCCCTGAAGGATCTGGAGATGCCACCCAGCCTCAGTGCCCGGAGCTCAGGCCAGGCTCAGGTGTGTGGAGAATGGAATCGGACACAAGTGCGATGTGTATCAACTGCACTTAGCCACCAATTTGAGTCCATTTTCCTCTTTAATGCTTCTCATTCTGATGCCCACTTTCCATCTCTGGCATAATAAGCATGTATATTTTAAACTATCAATGTAAACTGACAAGAAAAAACATTTTCAAGAAAGTACAACAAATACACTTTGAAATCTTAATACTTATACCCAGCATTATATCTTACTAGAGGCCCAGTGCACAGAATACATGCAGGGTGCGGGGGGGAGGGGGGGAATGTGTCCCTCAGCCTAGCCTGCACCCTCTCCAATCTGGGACCCCACTGGGATCAGGCCTAAATGGGCAATCGAACATCCCTCTCACAATCCAGGACTACTGGCTGCCAACTGCTTGCCTGCCTGATTGCCCCTACCCGCTTCTCCCTGCCAGCCTAGTCACCCCCTAACCATTCCCCTGCCAGCCTGATTGATGCCTAACTGCTCCCCTGCTGGCCTGATTGCCCCCAACTGCACTCTCCTGCTGGCCCAGTCACCCCTAACTGCCTTCCCTTGCCAGCCTGGTTGCCCCTAATTGCCCTCCCCTGCTGGCCTGGTCCCTCCCAATTGCCCTCCCCTGCTGGCCAACTTGTGGCGACCATCTTGTATGTTGGAGTAATGGTCAATTTGCATATTACCTCTTTAGTATATAGGATTTGCAAAAGCCCAGTGGCCAATGGCCATCGTTTGAAACAAGATTCTGAATGCTGCGTATAAGGCTAAGAGATGAGTGAGTCTGATTGGGGAAGAAAAGGGCACCTGTGCTCTGCTGGGACCGGCAAGAAGGTGTGGCACACAAGGGAGCCGCTGAGGTGGCCATGCTAAGGCAGCAAGACTTGCTCAGACCTAACACTGAGGCGACTACTCTTTTAAACTGAAAAAAAATAGCTGCCTTTCCAGAACACTGAGAGTTGGGTCCCAGAAATAAAGGCTCCCCGGACACTTCCTAGAAGATCAAATTGATCTTACAGACCAGACCAGACCTGTGCAGCTCACTACTTGATGTTCACTGAGGCCTCTGCCCTACTGTGTGTAACAGATGCCACGAGCTATTTTTCTTGAGAGGGACTCACGTTAAGCATCACATGGAAGGTAGTTTCTAACGTGACCTTCAAAGCAGTACAGTTTTCTTTGCAAAGCCTTTTTTCTCCTGCAAGATTAAAAATCCTACTCTTCCTTGCACAAATCCCCGTACAAAATTTTTATTATTTTTTTTAAATATATTTTTATTTATTTCAGAGAGAAAGAAAGAGGGAGAGAGAGAGATAGAAATATCCATGAGAGAGAAACATGGATCAACTGCCTCCTGCATACCTCCTCCTCACGATTGAGTCAGCAATTCGGCATCTGCCCAGACCTGGAATCAAACCATGGCCTCCTGGTTCACAAGTCGACACTCAACCACTGAGGCACCATAGCCGGGCCCAGTACAAAATTTTCAAATTTGAGGCACATTCTCTGGTGCCTATGCAATTTGCAAACCAAGTAAGTTCCTACATTTTATTTCATTCATAAAAATACATTTATTTTTAGGCCCTTAAAATATAGATATCAACAAAGATATAAAATGTCTCAAGAAATTAACCTACCTTTCTGTCTCTGTAGAAATACAGCATTTGTTTCCCTCCATCTGGGATTCAATTTAATATAGTCCATGATCAGACACATGTCCAGCGAGGCATTTGGTAGTCTAATGTCCACCTTCAGAACACATCGCTGACTGGCTCCAGCTGTGCCCTCTGGTTCTGCCACCTTGTCTGTGCGAAGCCCATGCCTCCAGACACAGACAGGCCCCTCCCCACAAGGCGTGGTTTCCTCTGCCCTGGGAATTTTAGCTCAAGGATTTCCCATTGAACTTGCCAAAACTGTCTTAGAACAGCACTGCGCTCAAGACCTCTCTTCCTTCTGATCCCTCTCATCTCAGGTCAGACATGTTTTCATCTAATGGCTCTCCCAGCCTCATGCAGTGGCCTCTCCATCCCCCTCCCAGGCATTTCACCCCATAACTCTCTCATACTTCTGATCCTCAGATAACCTAGACCAATACAATTCGTAATAATGAATAGATCAACGTCAATAAATAACAACTATTCAATATGAAACCAGCACCACTAGGTTTATGTAAAAACCATACTGCTGTCCTTGTTTAGAAAAAATAATGTCCCTTTTCTGGGAAAAGAAGCAGCTCTGGATCAAATATTGTGACACATCATCCAGATGATACTTTCCACAATATACTCTTCTGGTCAGACATCTGAAGAAATTTCTAGCAACTTAAATAAAAAACATCTCACACATGTGGTCAATGATAAATAACAGACTGATGACCTATGAAAAAGCAGATCTGAAATCAATAAATATATATTTTAAAATAAAACTCAAATACCATCCATGATGCATTCCAATAAAAATACAGCACAATCTAAGACATGCTTGTTGGCTTGTGGCTGGAACTTTCTTTTTTTTCTTTTATTTTCTTTTTTCAAAAATGCAAAACCCAGCATCCACAAGCACCTACTACGAACGCAGGAAGGACATAAAAAGGCCCCCTGATGCAGCTAAAGAACAGGACAATGAGGCCTTAGAACTTGAGCTGCACTGGGATTTTCCACCCCCTGCAGAGTATGCCCTGCCCTTGGCTTTGTAAACACCAGTCAGCCGGTGGAAATGAATCTATGGAAACCATCTGACCACTATGAAATCAAGGTTTGAATCCAGCATGGTTGAGGTAGAACCACTTCTTTTTTGTCTCATGAATTCTTTTCATGATTAAAAAAGAAAAGCCAAAGAAAACCATTTTTTTCTTCCTAAACTGAAGACTGTTAGTCGAATTTAGATAAGGAAATATAGGGGGAAATTAAAGGAAGACAGGCAGTTGGAGGTGTGTTTAGAGCAAAAAGAAAGACAGAACAATGCTATCTACTTCCCCCCCTTCTCCTACCCCACAAAATCAATGCCTCCTGATACAGATGTTAGGCAAGTTACCAGAAGTGGTATCCATTCATCCATTTCCATGTCCCATACCAACTCCCAACAGAAAAATAACCTAGTCTTTAAGACATTAAACAAGCCAAAACCGGTTTGGCTCAGTGGTAGAGCGTCGGTCTGCGGATTGAAGAGTCCCAGGTTCGATTCCGGTCAAGGGCATGTACATTGGTTGCGGGCATCTCCCCAGTGGGGGGGGGTGGGTGCAGAAGGCAGCTGGTTGATGTTTCCCTCTTATCGACGTTTCTATCTCTCTATCTCTCTCCCTTCCTCTCTGTAAAAAATCAATAAACTATATATTTTTTAAAAGACATTAAACAAAATCCATTTTTGAGCAATAGTTCAATAAAACCTACATGTTTTACCTTAACCTTTGGACCTAAAGTGCTTAAGTTCTCTGTGCTGGTAGAGGTAGGGTGGAACAATGAGA